GATCCTCAGGTCCAACTGCTGACATAACACTGCCAAGTCSACCACTGAACTATGTCCCTAAGTGCCCCRTGTATTTTAAATACCTCCAGGGATGGTGACTCCACCATTCCCTGAGCAGACTGTTTGTTCCAATCAATCACTTGACAGCTCTTGGTGAAGAAGTCTTTTTCCAATAGCCAATCTAAACCTCTTACTTCCACCATCTCTTCCTATACATGTACATGAAATCTGAATTTCTCACTAACTTTTGAAATACAGCTGAACTATTTTATTCCTTGTGTACTTCCAAAGCATTAATACAATCTTTCCTGCCGTGGTCTTTGCTTAGTTTAACTGGAGCATTAAGATACTATCGATGTGTTCTTAAAAAAATCTTTACAATCTGTTGATTTTTACACCCCACCCCTCCCTTGAATTGGAGATTGAGCCTTCAGGCACAGAACAGAATTTGGCAGGTGGGCAAATGTGGGCAAGGTTTGGCAGCTTGACCTGCATTGAAAGCTCATAGGAATGAACTTCTAGTTTGGGATGCAATGTAAGTGAATATTCCTTAAAATTCCTGAATATTCCGGTCCAAAAAGACTTCTAGTTTATACAGCACATCAGGAATTTCCCCGTGAGCTGTAAGCTGAGTCATACCCATTTAATGAAGAACGTTGTGTAGCTTTTAAGGACCTTCATTCTTTGTTGTCAGACTCTTCAACGCTGCCAGGATTTTGCTGGTAATTAACTTGACTGATAAGGACAGGCTAGAGCAGGAAGAAGGGTGATGTGAAGCCGAAGGGGCCGAAAGTCCCTCCCCCTTCCAGGAAGCCAACAACAGCCACTGAAGRAGCATTTCAGTCTCCTCTGATTCCAGCTTCTGCATATTTCCACCTTGAGAGGCAGTGGGACACACTCCCTGGTTTGTCTCTTGCCTCCTACATGGCCCTACAGCAGCTCAATGTGCTCTCTCCTGTGAGCAGTGTCTTCCCTGACAGTAACTCCAGAGGGGCCAGGGTGAACCAGAAGCTTCTCCAGGCGCTGCTTTCCTGGCACACTTGTTTCCCAGCAAGATTCTCGTAACTAAGCTGAAATGCAAGTGATTTCATCCTGCCATGGGCCCATACTAAAAAAAAATCAGGAAAACTTTCCAGAATAGCTAATTGGTTTTTGCTTTGGGCTGTTTTTTTGGTGGATTTTTTTCCCCTTGGGAATATTTTATGGCCAGCCTGTATCTATTCAATTATSTCGCCACCCACCCTCACTCCCTTGGTGCCCTCCCCAGCCAATATCTTATTTCTCTCTTGTGGAAGCAACACTCCAAATCCTCTGGCTTGTTCAGGGCAAATAATTGAGCTGTGATTTTTCACAGCTTGCAAGAGAGTCCCATGCAAAGCCTGTTACATCCCACTCACTTCCTGCTGCCACTCAAGGGCTGCTTGAGTGTTACTTTGTAAAACTTCAGCAGTATCTCCTGAAGATCCCACTGWATCCAGAACTAATGACACTGACTCAAACATTTGCTTCACAACAGGCAAATAGAGAGMAAAATCAAGGTTCAGATACAGGGTTCTTTCTGGAGGACCAATATTTGAGATCCCAACTTGACAGAAACACCTCAAGGGGATTTTCCTAGAAAGTGGCCATAAAATCTGCTTTTTATCAACACTTCTGCTTTCTGCACTTCTCTTGGTACAATGTAATCTGCTGTTTAAGATCAACCAATGTCCTTGGGTCTAAGCAGCTTTACACAGTTCTGCTAAAAAAAAAAAAAAAAAGGTTTTGTTCAGGACAGTCCTCATGTTCCACATATATTTACCCACATATAAAGGTCATGCCCTGCTTGCTGCTGGATCTCACAGCATGAAGCAGCACACCAGCAGCAGCATGGTTAGAAGTTGCATGCAGAGRCTGCTGGACAGCGTGCTGATCCATCTTGAAGACTGCTTTAGTATGTGACTAAAGCACCAGCTGGACATAAAGGCCATCAGTCAGTAGCATTAGGTGAAAATATGACTGGGCWAAGGCTCAGTTTTGAAGCAGAACCTGTTTAACACAAGGTGACTGAATGCTCTTCCAGTTGCATTGGCCACACAATACAAGCTGTGGTATTTTCAATTTCTCTGCCAATACTGACTCATTGAGAGCTGTAGCTGCCATTGTTTCATAAAGCCAAAACACCAGAGCTCAGAAAAGTTTCTGATAATTACAGGTTGGGAAAACAGACAAAGCGCAGCTAAAGCTGTACTTAGGGTTAAAATGTGTGRGTGAAAGTGCAAGTGAAAGACAGCTCCATACTTTGTGTATTCTTGATTTCACCTCTCAGTCAGTCAGGCACAGCTCATCAGCTGAAATGTAGAGCACAACATCGTATGATTTCACCACGGTGCTCCAGGGTTGGGAATCTGCTSTTCACTCACATTCCCATCCTACCTTGCATTGAGTTTTCTCCCAGTTTCGTGTTTCTCTCACAGGGCAGTGGCACAGATGTACCCTGCCCTGCTGCTGACAGGGCTGGGCCCAGTGCTGTTCACTSCTTCGAGTGTCTGTATCTGAAACAAACACTTGGCTCTTTGACTGGAACTGCATATCCTGTTTAGATACAGCCCTAAACTTTATTAAGCTTAATAATATCTAATACCTTTCAAGAGCTTTTGGAAATAGAGCTCATGATAATTAAACATGTGATAAATGATATCGCATGTTAGGGCCATACTTCCTACCTCAGGTTTCCTGATTTTAGTAACCAGAAACTTTTTAGGCTTTTGAAACATCTTTCTTAGCGTTRGCAGAACAGAACTGCCCTTTAGGAGCACCAATTACCAAAATTAACAGTAATTGTTTCTCTTCCTTGCTGGGAACTTAGCACTCCCAGTAGTTATCAGGTCTGGAAGAGCAGAGCTGACTCATGGCAGTTTGGTCCTGATTCTACTCCAAAGAAGTATTTTAAATTATCCAAAGGGCTGTGAGCTCCATGGTTTCTAGGACAGCCTGTCTTCTGAGCACTTTAAGATGTTTTTTCCTCTGGTCTTTTTACTACAATGGAATTTCCCTTGTGTCCAACTTGCAGTTTTGTTCTGCTTTTGCAAGCAGTCACCTTGCTGTTGAGCTTTTGACCTTTCATCTCCTCATGCTCAGGTTGTCCTCCCAGCATCCTGCAATATTTTCAACCCCACCTCGATTATCAAAATCTCATTCCTTTTTATATTTACCTCATCATAAGGGGTCTGTCCTCTCCATCATTCTGTGATTGTGGATGTTTCTGCCTCATTACCACTTCATCCCCTGCTTAAAAGAGTTTTCAATGCATGTCAAGACTGCCTGTACYAGAAAAGCTGGCAAGGAGGTGCCTCAGGAGGAGGCAGCAAAAGCCATCCAGTACATGTACTTACCACACACAGAGGTTTCTTTAGTTACACCCATTTTTGCCCAGCTTTTATTTMATCTGAATTCTTGTCAATTGCAATCATAGCCTTTCTTTACAGCATCTTTTTTTCGCCTTCTTTAAGAAGGCAAAACAAAGTGAAGGTGCTCTCCAAAATGATCCTGGAGAAGCAAGATAGGACACTCAGTATTTAAGTCTTGGATATTTCCCTTGGGAGACATGATTTTTTCCCTTTTAGGAAAGAGAAAACTGTGTGTCAAAGATCTTCATAGTTCAGGTGGTTTCACCCCTGGAACTTGTATTGAACTGGTGCTCAAGGGAAAGCTCTTCCAAAACAAGAATTAAGAATATTTTAATAGTAGCCAAGATTATTTGAATTAACAAAAGGCAATGATGGTTCACGATTTTATTTTTGGGGAGGGAGACATCTAAATCACTTGTGTTGTGCCCTGTCTTGTTCAAAAGGAAATGTTCTTAAACAAGATTTTTTTATTCTTATCCTCCCTGATGAAACCACTGCAGACTATTAGCACCTCRGAATTAATTTCTGCTTCTATGCTCCATGGAATCAATTCCAATGTAAACACATGCTGGGTAAAAGAGGTGCCATATAACCTTAAGCATCTCCTTTCMCCTTGAAGTTACTGCAAGTTATCTTCTCAAGCTCCATTTGCTGAGAAGCAGGCCCTGACATGTCAGGACTTTAAATACTTATTCTTTATTTTCATGCAGTAAGAGATTTGTTTACTCASTTACTCAGAAGGAAATTGCCTACAAATCCAAGTCGACCATTTCATGACCTTGCATGGCTCCAGAAGTACACAGATTTTAAGAACAAAGGAGTTCCAGCAGGTTCCTATTTGAGAGATCTGTATCTTTGAGCTTCTGATGGTGGCACCAGGAAGGCAGCAGCCTGACATTTGGAGTTTGTTCACATAATGGAAGCTGGAGAAGGGCTCACATGGTTAAAATAAAGGGGACACTCATATTTTGTTGCATACAAAAGCTTTATGCTAGAAAGGATATTAACCAAAATATACAGGTCTTACTCTTTTGAAGRATGGGTTCTGAAACAAATCTGCTGCTGTAAATTTGTAGCCACTGATTTGTAAGTAAATTTACAGTGCTAGTGCCTGTAAATGCTTTCTGGCAATGGAAGGGTTCACTTTTACTTGGCTTCAGCTCAGAGGAATACATGTAGTCACTGGGGCTTGCCCTACTGTTAATGAATGGAAACAGGCACCTTAAAAGGACAGATAAATCATACCCAAGAATAGTACCATTCTTGTTCAGATCCATGCAAGAACARTGTTACAAAGGTAAGGGCGTAGCATAAACAGCAGCAGCTGCTCTTATGACTGATACCTGGAAACTCCAGCAATGTAGACATTTTTCCAGCTTTTTGCTATCCAGTGAATTTTCAAGTGGGTGGCAGTGCATAACCCAGAAAACAGCTTCTATTCCCTGCTGCAATACAAACCCACGCTGCTGAGAAGCCAGGTTTCATCTACAGTGAAGTTTCTGGCAACACAGACTTTGTGTGCAGTAGATTTTGGCCCAAAGACTGTGCCAAGTGGAGTCATGCACACTCAAGTTCAGAAAAYACAAGGGGAACAGAACTACAGCAGACAAATCTTGAAAAAAGCATATTTATTTTAAAGTACAACCCAAAGTTGTATCTGTAAGAAATGCACATGGTATCTTGTTTCTTGCACAAGTCTTGGCTGTGTGCATTTCAGTTCAACTTAAAAATGCATTCAGGTTTACAAATGTACAAACAGCACAAAGTGTTTTACAGTCTCAACAGAATGCTCTTACATTCAGCCACTTTGCTCTTAAGGTTTTGTGTTGGTTTTGTTGGTATTTTTTGTTGATTTTTTTTCCTTTTTTACATTCTTACAACCTGTGTTAACAAAGACAGCCTTATTTTAAAAAAATACTCTGCATTTTAGCACAAAGTGCCTTTTGATTTTAAATTAGAACTTGGAGGATAACACTGGAAAAAATTAAAAACCCCAAACTTTTCATGAAARTATTGCATGCCAGGACCATTTTAGAGTTCAAATTGTTTCCTAAATAAAGATGGCAGATGGTAAAATATGAAACCAGTGAAACTGTTCATATTTACAGGCTTCAGCCATAGTTGGGATTTGTGACCACACCCAGACATTTCCAAGCTTATCTGCAACCTCACACTACCATATTGCAGGACAGACTTTAAAAAGGAGCAAGTGATGAAAGCATGAMTGACAGGGGGATTGGGGAGGGGGGATGCAACGGCCTGAAAATGATGTTTCAAAAATTTGCATTCAGAATTGTATCGTGACCTGAATAAGTGTTCTTTTTGCTTTAGTTTTCATGAGGATAGTGGGAATTTGACCAAGGATCTGAACTTCTTCTTCCAATTGTTGGGCTCCAAATTCTCCAAGGATTGTAGGTCTGTCCCATGTCTTCAGCAGGATTGGCAACGGTGGCAGCAGCAGGYGGCGGCGGAGCAGCGGCGGAGTTTTCACTACCCATGAGATCAATGCCTGACAATGCATTTGTTGGAGTGGTGAAGGGAAGGCCACTGTTGAGATTACTCGACCAAATGGAACTGCTGAATGGAGTGGTGGACCACAGGCCACTGGGGTTGCCCAGGATTGACTGTGGGAAAGACAGAGCAAKGTAAGTGGCAGTTTGGTAGCCCAGTTTTCACTTGGTTTATGGCCCCCCGAAAGATAAGTACCCGTGCAGCAGCAACAAGAACCCTGCTCTGGAACCCCTTCCATCCTCACTGCTACACAGAGCTCTGAGCTCCCTTCACAAGGGCCTGCCCAGAGGAACCAAGCTGCTCCTGCAGCTGACACTGAGAGCTGCATGGGCTGCAGAGTGCAGTACATTACAGGCTTTCAAGCTGTTTTCACTTCAGCTGATACATCCCCATACCACTGCTAATTTTAGCACTCTGAGTATTCAACACTCAAGAGCCAGAACACTTAAGCTTAAACAAACTTGTTAGAATGATGAAGGTAAACATGGTTTAAGTTTCAAGAACCAACAAAATTCAAGTTGCAATGGAAGGTATTTGCAAAGTCCTTTTTCGATTTTTTTGGCTGTTTGCAAATTTATCCCCCAGTAGTCAGACATGTCTGTTTTGGATTAATCTACCTGTGTTGAGTCCCACTGTACCTATCCCATATTCTCAGTACATACTTTTCCCCCATTCAAAATTTTTCAAGATGAAGGGAAGGGGRATAAGACAACCTTCCATTTATTACTGAATTCCAGAAAGTCTGTCCTGGCTCAAGACACTTGGTAGTCTCTGACAAATGCTCATGGTGTGCTCCACACAAATGCACATCACAAATGCACCTGGGATATACAGGACAGGTACAGCAAGCCTAGAGAACACATGCAGGAATGGACCAGGCCCAGGTTCTATCAACTGTATTTTACTAAAGCTCAAACAGTAGCAAGCAACAAGCAGAGGAATCTGACCCRTGGTGTGGTGGAAAGCGATACCCGGAAGCAGCCAAAGATGGAGATGAGAAAGATTAGCATAACTTTCATGCTAATATTAGCACAGAACCTGCTACATGTAGGCTTATAGCACTACATGCCTCAGTGTCAACAGATTTAATGTACRTATGCTGTAAATTCAATTTGCAAATATACTGTAAACTTGATACACCCAAAAGGCAGTGGACTTGTTGAGTAAGTCCTGTAAGGTACAAACATCCTTATGTTTGGATTTACTGGCTGGAGATAGRGCACCCCTTCCCAAGATTTCTGCCCTTAGATAACACACACTTGAAAGTTAATCAGTATCTGCATCTGAAGATTTAAATAAAAATTCCTTTAGGAACGAAAACAAGGTAGAATCTGAACATTTCRTCCTTTTAGGTTTTATTCTCTGGTCTGGAATGAAGAAGATAGGCTCAGTCTAATCATACCTGAAACTGTCTGGATGCTAACACATCACAGTATTTGCTACCAAGGGCTGGACAGGAGTTTTGAGCATTACTTGGGGGTTAACCAGGCCAACGACATGAGGACTTTCCAATGTCACTGAGAAACAGCCAGACCAGGGTCACAGTGTATTACTGCCACATAAATAAATTGTTATATTTAAGCTATACAAGCATTAGATATACTAAGCCTGCAGCAGGAAACACTCTGCTGCTTGGGCACCAACCCTAACACACTAGAAGTCCACCCTATTTCCTCCTGCAGGCAAGAGCCAGGAACTATTTGTTCCTACTTGTCCCAAAAATGTTTGGGAGATCCTGATAGAAAGGCATTTGGTCACAAGTCAGAAGCAACCAGGAAAGGAGCAGCAGAGAAAGGCACCTGCTACGCCCTTTCAGGGGTGGTGGAGGGAGGTACAAAGTGTTTGGCAGGCAGAACTACACACAGAGAAATACAGGAAATGGRAGTAGTGGAATGTGGTTAGAAAGGAACTTGGGGAGAAGTACCAGCCATGCAGCAAAGGCTGAGGGCAAATGGGATCCAGAAGGCAACTGCTACTTAGCACAGGAGCAGAATTGTGCATAGAAGGAGAGGCAAGAGGAGTAAGGAAGGAGAACGATCAAAATGAACTCTCCAGAAACCTTCCTAGAGAAAAGGGTAACACAGAAGCCAAGGGCTGTTTGCAACAATGGCTTTGGCTCTTGTCCCAGAACAGAGGAAAGGGCAGGGCTCTGGCCTGGTACCTGCTCTCTTATCAGGCACCTAGAGCAAGAAGGCTCAGTAACAGGAAAAGCCAAGCTTTCCTGTTCTGGCTCGCCATAAGCACTTGCAAATACTACTATCATTTATAACAGCTTTGAATATTTCAGTCAGTTTGCTGCTTGTTTCTCATTTTTATTAAGTGATCTTCTCCTTGAGTAAGCTCCTAAAATGTCTCCTCCCAAATCAAAGCAAATGGAGTAACTGACACTGCATCTATACCATTTGTCTGGCTTCCATCTTGACGCTTCCTGAAGTGCACTTATAAATGCTGGGAATTATGTGTTAGGAGCTAGAGAGCTTGTTCTGCTTGTCCTCAAGCCCTCCCTCTACCAAATGCTGAGAAACTTGCCTCTGTGTGACCAAAACCCAAAAATCTTTCCTTACATAGTTTTAGTGAGKGTCCAGCTCTGGTTGTAACCACATGACAAGGGCRGGATCAGTGAGCCTGTGTCTATTAGAAGCTGTGTGACCTTCTTTGGCTTCCCCTGCTTCCCCCACTCCATCTGAGCTGCTCCCAGGTGAAGTAAACACTGCCTCTTACTCACTACAAAAACATTTTCAGAAGCCAACATGAAGGATTTCAGCTGGCAGCGAAGACAGCTGTTGCAGCCTAAGTTTTAGTCTGACACAAGGATGGCACAAGGATGACAGTACAGCACTACAGTCTGTAAAAGTTGGGGTTTTTTTTTTCTTCTTTTGCTATACCCAAAATCTTCATCAAAATTAGTAGTCAGTTTAAAGACTTTGCCTTATTTTCAGTTCTTTAGTGTTTTTTTCTAAACTGAAAATAATATATTTGAGGTCTTTTAATTAGCTGTTTTTGGGGCCTTTTGTTAATTRACAAACGGGTGCAATACTGGATTCAGAAAGCAGAATCAAAGTGTGAAAGTCATATTGGCTATTTTGCAACTGTCTATCAAACTGGAAGTGACATACACAGGGTCCAGCCATAGCACAGGAGCAAACCTGAAGGATGTGGGAGCAGAACACACTTCTGTAAGTGCTGCAAGATGCTCTTGTGACAAACATTTTTATGGGAAGCAGTCTACATGAATTCATCAACCACAAGTGAGGAAACTAGTAACTCTTTGTCCAACAGGCATKTCAGCTTAACTACACTAAGATGAATATGTGTACATTCCCTCTTCCTTTATTCTTCATTCTATTTCCTTTCACCCCCAATTTCTCTGAATTACATTAGATGACACATACAGAACGGGTTGGTAACAATAATAAACCACTGTATTTGGACTGAATACTTACTGCAGTTGTATGAGTTGGGGAACTTGARCTTGTTGGCCAGGAGGGTACAGAATCTGTAGCTGAAGGATCCCAGATGGATGATGGAACATTACTGAATTCGCYCCAGTTTCTCTGAACATCCTGCCCATAAGCAGATCGAGCTAAACCAAGCTTGCTAAAAACCTCTAAAAATAAAATGAAATAAAACTTAGTTTTATTCTTCCTCTTTTTCCAAGAACAATACTTTTCAGTTATTTTATTGAAACAGAGAAACCCCAAACCCAAGCATTCTCAGYCCATCAAACACCTGATGAGTTCCACTACCTTTCTCACAGAAACACAGTGAAACACAGAATATACCCCCAAATTTTTAACACACTTTCCTATGTAGTCTTCCCTTTTAGGGGTGAGGATGGAAACACTGTACATAGACCAGCGTAAAGGAGACATATTTCTTTAACTATATTTGAATACAGAAAAATATTTGAACAGAAAAACTCACCTCCAGTTAAGTTAAAAGARTTTCCAAATGCAGAGAAGGAGTTGAGAGGTGTGAAATCAGGACTGCTCGGATTGCTCATAGGACTCCACAAACCCGAACTACATTTTATGGAGTACAAGAAAGGCAACACACAATTATTAGCACAATACGATTGACAATATTAACTTACTGATCTATACATAAATGTGTGTGTATGTTTAACTATACGTATTTATATATATCTACATAAAAATACATAGTTAAACATATAATTAATATATATTTAATGGTGATCAAGAGATCAGCTTATTTTTGCTTTAACAAAAGCTTTTGGTGAAATACCATTTTCCTGTGTATACACCCACCATGGAGCAACACAGTAATATAGACACAGTACTCTTTACTCTGACCATCAAACAAACATGAGAGTAGCTCTTTAATCAATTTTTCAGAAAACACATGGAGTCCAAACCATAGCRCAGTTATTTTGTCAAGCAGATAAAATTCAGAGTCACTTAGAAGTGATACAAATATTCACACTCGTGGGAAAACTTCTTGGAAGTAATAGATGAGTTAACTGAAAGCAGTGTTAAACATCCACCAAAACAAACAAAAACTCCATGCACAAACTTCATTCAGAAAAGCAATTCCTTTGCATACAGGAACTTGAATTCAAGTGTCTTTCTACTCCASAAAGCTTACTGCTTTTTACAACTGAGACAGGGGCTCACTGCCAGAATGTCAGAAAAGACATGTTTCTTGCAGAACTGGGTGACTGCAGCTGTACCCTGTTCCTACTGAAAACACAAAGCCCACTGATAGCTCTGGTTTTGGTGTTAAAATGGAGAGTGAAAGGTATTGCTGTACAGCAAGGTATTGCTGTACAGCAAGGTACAGCTCACTCTGCCTGTGAGCCTTCAAGTGACTTTGGTATACACTCCTCAGTACTGAGAGCACCAAGCTGATTTCTCATTGTTTGGATGCCCAGCAACACAAGACTGTTGAGTTACTTGGAATGAGGAGGGGGAAACTCCCAYCACATCCAGAACATCCTCCTCTCTACTTTTGAGTCACTTGCATCTTCTAAACTTTCCTGCAAGGTGAGAGATGCTGTGCTAGACTTTAAAAAATAGTTTAAAAAAAACGAACCAGAAKGAATTCCACCACTCCCTTCAAAATGCCATTAATAGCTCTATCTTCTTTTCTAGGCATGCAGGTATCTGCCTAGAGAATATAAAAATTACCTGTCAGAGCCATCACTGTCAACAACTGCATGGGAAATGCTGATATTGCTGGAAACATCTGCCTTGCTTGGAGAAACCTTTGGTAAACCACTGCCCCCTGCAAGAACATGAATGTAAAAAATGAGTAAAATAAACCTCAGCAAAGTAACAAAATATTCASGAAATATTTATTTAGAAACATTAAGAACTCCAAACTGGTTCTAGTACCTGGACTCTTGTCATAACCTGCAGCTACAGCAGCAAAAGTGGGGTTTCCATTCCTGCCTGGAAGAGAAGCTGCCTTTGCCAGCTTATGTTTGGTACCATTAGGCTGCTTGTTTTTTGTTTCACTAAAATGAGAAAAATAGAAAAAAAAAAGGAAAAACAGAGTAAGGTTCTGGACTTCAGCTGTTTGATTAAAAGAACAGCAATTTAAGCTAGCATTCAAGAAAACATTTATAATAGCTCAGCAGTTCATGGAATTGCACATTTTTCTAATCTACCAAGTTGTACAGCAAGGCAARATATGCACAGTGGTGTATCTGCATKGGAAGAGGAAASWGATCTGAGAATCAGGAGATGCCCCCTGTGAAGCACATGGTTCCACAAGTGTTTATTGCCTGGGAAATCAGTAGGAGGTARGATCTGGACTCACTTGCTGCAGCTGCTGTTCACGATGCTGCTGTAAGTGCCTCCTCGTGGCCCRAAAGCAAAGGATGTGGGAGGAGGAGGTGGAGATGGAGAGGCGGGTGTTGGAGAGGGCTGTCGCTGCTTCAGGAAAGCGTCTGCATTCAGGGTTTGCAGAGAGAGCTTATAGAGGTTRTCTGTAGCTATAAAGAGAAACACAGAACTGTAGTTTCTTCCTGTAGTATTTGCATTACAGCAAAGGCTTGTCAGACTTCTGCTGTCCCTTCTGCTCAAATGGAGGAATTATGAGAAAGACTATTTGCTCCCAGTGATGGAAGCAGCAGCTCATTGTCTATGTTCACCTATGGTTATTCATGTTTACTGTTTATTTTCAGAGACTGTTTTGCAACACAAGCAACCAGAAGGAAGATGAGTTGGTTCCTAACAAGGGACTTACAATGCAACCAAAAAGATGATAACAGTGTCCCAGATAACCATTACATTAAGGTATTTTAGTGTTCCCTCTCAAGGACAGATCACCTTATTACTTTYAACTTTGACGGGAGCAGACCTGACCAAGCAAAACCCCATCTACTGTAGAAAAGACATATTTTTTGAGCAGTAATTCTAATTTTCTCCATTTCCTCAGCAGCCTCTGAATCCTGGAGAGCTGTTGAGTGACCCATGTTCTGCCCACACCATTTTCAAACCTCCCAAATCATACCAGATGCTATCAATATGAAGCCTACAGCAGAAAAAGGGAGCTCAGCTATGCAGTGAGAAGGAGACAGGGAAGATCTATAAACAGATCAAGCCTATCTACAGATACTAACTGCAGAATACTCATTCTGCCATTGCCCAGCATTACTTACAGCTGCCAGCTTTGTGGAGAGGCACAGAGTCCCACTCCGGTGGTGGAGAATCCTTTTCCCCTTCTGAGCTGCTGGTGTTTCCTAGCTCCTGTCCAGAACCACTGGGGAGAAATTTTGCTAATACTGATGGTCTGCTCTCTGTTAGCTTACTGCTTGGACCTATTAAAACAAAAGAAAAATCAAGTGTGTGGATAACAAAGAGAACAGATTTCTTCTCACACCAGACTTAGAATTGAGCACTCAAGAGGGGTTACAGACAACAACATAAAACTCTTGAAGTATTTACAATGAACAGCCTCACACTACCTCTTGTTTTGGGGAGGTTTCTTGATTTAGAGCCACTTGACAAAAGGTGCTGTGTAGAGATCTTGGATGGAAAGGTTTTGCGCTGTTTGTTTTCCAGTGGGGGAGTATAAGACAATTCCAAGGGACTGAAAGAAAAYAGAAATTCTTTTTTAAAGCTCTGAAGTACTGTAAAGCACTTTTTTATACATATCTATATACACACATACACACACATACATAGGCCATACTGTCTCACAAAGTATTGGTCTCCTTTGGCTTTCTCATGAATAAGCAGAGTTTTGTATTTTTCCTATATACAACTCCACCCTTCAGAGCCCTGGCTCATTTTCTAACCACACTGCTCCACACATGTATTAGGCTCCACTCACATTCCAGGAGCAGCTTTCATCCTGGAGCTCCAGGTTCACAAAACCTGTTTGATTACATAGAGGCAACAAGAAATGGCAACTGCCTTTTTTCTACCCTGCCCCCACACACCCCTGGTTAGATCCCATGCTCTTAATATGCTACTGCCCTAAATGTACAGGATTGRTTTTTAATGATAATACAAAACTACTCAAATGAACCACCAAATTCAACTGGCTGGATATTGCTCTTTTTCTCCAGGTACTTGATCCTGTCTCTCAGACTTTCAAGGGAGGAACTATTTTCCCCATTCTTGTAGAAGAATTGCAAGCCAGTTCTCATTGTGGCCTCTGAAAACGTCACATGTAATGAACTTGTGAGTTATAAGATAAAGCAAAGTACATCATTGTAACAATAAATAAGGAAGAGACTTTGCCAGGCAATGTTTTCAGAAATATTTTGAAGAAAATTAATTTCTTCTAACTACAAACTCAGTCTACTGTTAATTACAACAGGAAAAACACAGCTGATTTACCATACCTCAGTTTGGTAAAGTTCACTTTTGTGGCACTTGGATACCAATCTGATTTTACAGTACTATTCTGGAATGAACTAGTAAGATTAAGATTCTTTTTCCCCCTATCTACAGTCTGCAATCAACCACATGCCAGTATGGGACAGGGACTGGCAGTGGCAGCAGCCTCCTTTAATAACATAGCCAAGACTCTGACCTTACTCTATGATATGAAAAAGGAAACCGTGTGGCTGCAGTTTCACCAAGGGCAGCTAAAGACACTCACGTTAATGCTGGCTCACTGTGCTGCCCCCTAGAAACATTAATCCCACTTCTTGTATGCACCACTGTTATCAAAACCTTAACATTGCTTCTCCTGATTTCCATCTCTCAATTTGGCTCTCATTTTTGTGCTGTATTCCCATTAAGTAACTTATTATTTGCAAGCTACACATATTCCCTGATATCARGAAGGAAGAGGAAGCTGTTTATAGGTATCTGTTGGCATTTGCCAAACCAGCCACAGCAGTCAAATACAGATATTCTTAACAATCCATCTTCTCTTTCAAGCATGACACTTTCCCTGCTAAAAAGCCTCCATTATGCTTACCTGGTTTTCACATCTATAGGGATTTCTTTCTTGGTATTTGYAATCACTTTTTTGGTTTTCTGTTTTACTGGGACTATTTCATTTTCAGGTTTTTCTGCTATAACTTTTCCCTTTTGTTTTTCAGGTTCCTATAAAAGACATGATGACACATTAATAATCATAAAAAGCAAACTCCCTCTTGCATCAGAACACAGGTAAAATAAAGGTGGCTGAGGAAAGAATGCTAACGGAACACATGATCCTTCTTGCAGTACTAAAGGTCTCTTTTTATGACTTGGTGAGTTTACCTATAAAATATAGTTTCTTTTTTTTTTTCTGTTTGGAGAAGTAGAAATTGAAATAGCAAATTAATGAGCTTCAAGCAGATCTSTTTTGCACAGCTTCTCTGGCCACAGCCTCTGAGTCTACTTAACAAGATGCTAGCTCTGTACTGAGACCCTTAATGTATCTCCTGCATGCAATCCAGGCCACCTAAAATAGACTCTTCAACAAAACAAATAATACGACCAACTTCCCCATTCTATTTATTATTTAAACCACACTTGTAAGACTTTCTAAATACAAGTATATTCTCAAATAGCCATCCTGAAAATATCAGTGGTGATTTTCAAATGACTACCAAAGTGTAACCTTTAAAATATGTCACATGGATTTCTTTTATTTTTTTTTTTCACAGCTATAATCCATGTCTTTCACAAAGTTCAAATTTAAGATGTCAAAATWTAGGCTTGGTTTTCTTCCCTTTGCTATTACCGCTGCTTTGTTTAGTCATGCTTTAGGACGAAATATTTGTGACAATCCAACCACTACACAAATTGTAGATTTCTGTTTATTACCTTGAAGCATGTGAACCAAATGAGTTAAATAAARGTAGGGGTATTGAATACAGTAATTAAGTTAACTACATGCTGACAAGTTACCACCATTGATCTGGCTCTTTGTAACTGACAAAAAGCATGGATTTAGCATGCACCTTAATTATTGAGTGGAATTACTGTCCACACTTAGGTGTTTTATTCTGCAAATAGAACAGGCCAGGAGACAATTACCAYAATGCTACTGACTGGCTTATTCAAGCCAAATCACCTGGGCATTTTTACTCCTGAGCCTACAGGACTCAAGCAAGTTCACACTCACAGAGGTGCAGATTTGATACTGAATGATGGCAGGAATTGGGAAAGCTCCTTTTAATTAACATTCTTCCTTTGTTAGGTATTATATGAAAGCTGAGGATGGTGTGGGGGAAAGTGTTTCCACTCCAACAGGTAACACACCAGCTACTGAAGGGCCTCCTTTACTCAGCAGTGCCATACCTCTTTGAGAAGTGGTTCTGTGTCTGGGTTGGAGGTTTCTGTTGTGGTTGAAGAACTGTCATCATCTGCCAAGGAATCCTTCAGCTCATCCTCCTGTTGCTTTCCTTTCCCTCTTCTGTCCTTTTCTTCCCGCTTCTTCTGTGGCTTAGCCTTGCGCTGAATTGTTTTCCCTTTTCCTAGAAAGATAAGGATGCTTCAGATTCTCAGCAGCAGTTCTCAGAGGCAGGCTAATTCCCTCCTTTTCAAAGGCTAACCCATGTGACTACATGCAGTTTGYTGCCTGTTAGGACACACCAACTACTTTTGCCTCTTTGTATAAAATGTGATAAAAGAACCACCCTGATCTCCACCATCCCATTCATGGTTCTGAGCCGTGTCCGCRTTGCCTTTCTGTGGATGTGGGCACCTGGTTGCCTACAATTCCTCTCTGATCTATTCCTGACATTCCTTTTAARCACCATAGAATCCAATTTGACAGTTTAACAATAAACATGAATTTACAAAGATGGCAAAAGCTCTATCATCCAAACAAATGAAGAACAGGAATGATCAGCATGCTTGTTARTTGAAAAAAAACTCCAACAAAACAAYTTGAAATAAGAYTAGTGTGGATAACAAAAATCACTGATAGTATTTGTCTAGCAAAGAGGTAAAAAACCCAASCAACCAAAACCTGAAAATTTCACACCCAAGTATACTTTCTCCTCCTGACATATTCTACTCCTTCCGAGTGGACTATTCTCAATACAGRGCAACTGTGCACGTGTGTGTGTGGAGTCTTCATGAGCTTACCATCACCTGTTGCTATACTACAGAATGTGAGCTTTCACAACGTTCTTATTTCTCACTAGCTGTAGTATGTGCCTTTACTCATAGGATCTTTCTTAAGATGCTGCTCTTAAGAACAAGCGCTGTCCTTTATGAGCCACACAGTGCCTACATACAGCCTCCTGGATGSATTTAGCTGTTTGCTCAAATAAACACTCAAGCAACCTGTGCTGAATAACTGGATTCTGCCTCTTCTGGAATTTGTACTAGCTTGAGCTGGAATTACAACTGGAAGCACCATGATAGCTGTTATATTTCATTTGGCAAAATGGTAAAGTTTGTACCAAAACAAAAATTTGCCTTCAGTATTTTGGCAAATACCAGATACATATCGGTGTTTTCAGACTTGTTTTTTTTAAGATGTAAGTATCAGTGTTTTCAGTATCTAGAACAACAAAAATACGGAGATAAAAGTACTCTTTTCAGCAYAATAGCTAATATATATATAAATACAAGTACATCTTCTATGCAATTGTTTTCAGGGTTGGCTTCCAGCATACTGGGGGCATTCTGGCTGTGCCTCAGAAGGCCCCATTCCAAAATTTGCTTCAAATGTAGTCTACTTTCAGGATTGCTGAACAGTTTWATGTTCGTAATTAGAAAATCTATGTAAATATTATCATTACATTAAAATGTAACATTAAGCAGCTGTTTAACAAAAAACTAATTCAGTCTCTGTAGCAGTCTGCTAAGACCCAAGTATTAGGAAGCCAAAACAGAAGACTATAAAAACAGGAATTCTGAACCGGATCTTATGACAATCAGTCCAGAAGCTGCTGCTTCTGCAAATGCTTGTGATTAGCTCTAAATATTTATCTAAAGACAAACACCCCTGTGTGTGTACGTAGATGCAGACAGATTATGGAACTTCCCCAATGGTTTTACGTTTTTACATTTAAAGAGGAGAAGTGGAAATGGACACACTATATTATTTAAAGTGGGAATATGCTTTTGAAACCAGAATGTGGGGTCTCCGCATACTGTGTGCCAGCTGCATCACAAAACATTTCAAGTGCAAGAGCTGCTTCCTTCTTAAGGAAACTAGAAATGGAAGATGTGGTCCAGAAGCACTTTCAGGCATTCAGTACATGGATGGAACCAGTCCACTGCAAACCTGTTCATGTAACCCATAAGGATGTTGCATCCTCACTAACTTTGCTTTCCAGAGCTCCAATACTGCACTGTTTGCCAACATGAATATTGTCCATGAAACCTTCCTACCATTACATCCCCTTCTGGAGCCCCATTTAGCCTTTATGAAATGAATACCTGATGGCAGTTCTCTTAATTCCCCCAACCACCTCTCATCGTAAAAACTGAAAACAAAACAGGCCAGAAACAGTGTAGCATATTTTGGCAAGACACCAAAACCTCTCAACAACTTCAGTCTCCACTTTCAAAGTCCAAATGCATCCTAACATCCACTCTGAACTAATTAAGAACTTTCTGCTCATTACCACCTAACAGAGTGAAACCTTCCTCTTGAGTGGTGCATGATCTTACAGATGGTGCAGTGTTTATACGCCTTCCCACAATTTTCATTCGCCTCCCCGATTCATTTTCTTAACTTTAATAAGCAACACAGTATCAGTGCCATTTCTGTACAAGTGCTGGTAGCAGAAAGTGAAAAATCATTTAGAAATAAACACACATTAAGATTAAATGATCACTTAACTCTGGGATGCAACTGAAATTGCTAATATAAAAATAATAATTAGAAATTCTACTCTAACAAAGTGTTCATAAGAAGGCAGTAACTGACAATTTCAAAAGCCTAAACATCTAATGTATGAAATTCAATACATTATTTTAAGCACTAGACAATTGGAAAGATGTGAAAACAAGTCCAACTCAAATCCAGCCTTATCCAAAAATGAATGCAATGTATAGACACAGGTGCCTTGTTTGCTGACCACGTGACATTAAGGATTTTCTACCACTGCAAGTCTGGACATGAAGAATTCCTTTCCCAAACAATACCACAGGGGTTTACTTACCCATCTCTCTCTCTTCCCCTCCTCACTTTCTCTCTGCCTCACTTTTCACAATTCTGTAAGACAGCTTCCTTTTCCTTTCATCAACCCCGAGCCCCAAGTCCAAATGATGGAAATGGGAGGGACAGGCACCAACCCAAAGGCAAAGTAGCAACAAAAAGCATTTTTCTTTTTCAGACAATCAGGTGTCTAGATATTCACACCTGCTTTCATCAAAACATTCAACCATTTTTGCAGGAAGAATGACAAGCTAGCACTGCACAGAGAATTTCACTGCCACAAGATAACRCAAGTGTTCAAGACACAGCACATAGCACAGGGCAGGGAACTATAGAGAAGAGCTGGCTTTCCACACTATGAAAACATGACCTTTACAGTTGACTAGATCTTGTCCGGTGGTTTACACAGTGAATAAGCCCATTAAAGCAGAATTGTATTACCTTTGTTTTTTGCTAGTGGAGATGGGGGCTGTTCTGTAAACACATCAGGGGAAGGGGATTCTGGGTGGTCAAAGTCTTTTTCCATAGTTTCTATGAGCCCAGTGAGATCTGAATCCTCGGAGCTGTGCCTTCTGCTGCTGGCACATTCACTGTGAGGTGGGCTGAGCAGCGGGAGCTGTGGCAAAGCACTTTCAGTCTGTTGCTCTTGCTGCTGGGGCACGGCTGCTGGGGGTTGCTGGAGGGGCTGCTCTGCCAAAGCTGGTGCCTGCTGCTGTATCAGCTGCTGGTTCTGCCTCGTCCCCTTGGCTCTTTTGCCTGCGGCATGAGTCTGAGCTGTGGCACCTGAATCCAAGCTAAAGGAGCCCGTTCTGTTCACTGACTGCATGGAAGCGGCTTGTGCTGAAGTCCTGTTAGGTATACTTGAATTGGTTTTGGATTTGATGTTTTCAACATCAGGTGCATTTCTATTGCTGTGAAGGTGTGCTGTTGCATTGCATTGCTTATGATTCCCTGCACCGGATCGTGAAGATGAACTGCCTGCTCCATAAATTCCTCTGGATGAACTGTGATTAGAATCCGATCCAAGTGTATTCAAGCTGGAAGAATAACACATGTTTAAGCATACTCTACAATGTTTCCATTCTTCACTATGAAAAGAGAATTACTATATTCAAAAGAAGCCTTGAACTATACTATTCTTGGCATACAATCAGCAAAAATGCCTAAAACTTGTTTGGCAAGTCAGCAGACTTCATCATTTCCTGTACTCATGCACTGTATATAGGAACAAAAAACATAGTAAAATGACTGTTGATATATATGATGGAGGCAACACTGAAAGGAGATGAGCTTTAGTTAACTTTAGACACCTAAGGTAGGCCTGCAATTTTTTTAGTCTCTACTTTTTGAGAATATTAAGAGGAAACTTGGCAGGGTTTGGTTTTTGGTAGATTTCTTTCTTTTTCCCTTTTTTTTTTTTCCCAGAAGAAGAATATTCCTCACAATCCCAAAATTCATCTTTTCATCCAAACTACCTTTTTATAAGCAACTGTGAGGATATCTTTAATCATTGACCTGTTCTAGTGAGCAGTACTGTTTTTTTACTGGCCTGATAACTAAAGAAGAAATAAATGAGAAAAGTACTACAAGAACATTTACTTACTTTCCGTCAGATGAAATTCCAACTATTCTCCTGAGATCAAGTGGCCTTCCCATATCAAAGGGAGGATTTGAGGCCTCAAAGGACAAGCGTCTTCTAAATGGCTCCCAAATTCCTTGAGCTTCTAGATAGGCTGTTCCAATTACCAAGAGAAAGAGTACACTGCAGAGAAGAAAGGCATTCATCTAAGAATTTATTAGTTTTGAGCATTCTAAAGCTAATGACTCTAATGATACAGGACAAAAAGCTTGTATCTTGTACTGAAAATACTTAAAATTGCATCCAAACATAACATATACAAGACTGGCATGATATGCAGTTGCCAGGTGTATTAATCCAAAAGAAAAAATGTTGGACTTCAAGAAGCTGGAGCCACAAGCAGGTGATTATTCAAACCTGCGATTTAGGGATTTAGGGAAGGCAAAAATAAATACCATTGTATCAAATTTAAAAACATGGACTATACAAACTTCTGGTGTTCTTCCCTAGAAATTAWGGCTAGCTTTGCAATGATATGGAAGAGTTATTTTAGTGGCAACTAGCAAACCCATGCATGATGGCGTCCTAAAAGTTAGAGGCAGTTTATAAACAGAAATCTTGGAATATTATGACATGTATTAGGATTCTTCTCTAGTTTGCTGCTAAGAAGGATGTTTATACTTTTAAGAAAAAGACACAGTAAGGGAAGGGATTAGTATTCTCTATTCTTTGTAAAGTCTAATTAACAATACAGTACATATAAAATTTCCCAAACTACATTTATGAGCTGACAACCATTACTTACTTTGTCAAAGAACTAAAAACAAACTCAGCCTATACACTTCTAGCAAATATATAGAAGAAATTTACCTAAGTACTCACTCAGCACTCTAAGTAATGCATTGTCAGTGACAACACAAAATTTCTTAAGTAAGAGAAATTTTCCTCTTACTTTGGAAAATGGAGTTTTCTCACTAAACACTGCATTGCTTAGGAAAATACTGAAGAGTCAAAAAAGAAAATTAAGTGGGCTGTAACTTAATCATCTCTATTTCTTTTGTTAATTCCTACAAGAAAAAACAGCCTAAGTGAACTTTTGTAAAACAGAAGAACCAATAACTTACTGCGAGGGAAAAAAAGGTAATATGACAAGTACAATAATGCCTTGGATTTGCAGCACACATAAGGACCTCTTTTTCTTCAGAGACATCTACAGCACCAATAATTTCACACAAAGATATAAGCTTAACACTAATGAAAAGAAAACTAGCATTTACTGCTACTGATAAGTAAAAACTCATACTGGTAAGTTTCCATGCTAGGGTTTTCCCTGCACGAAAGACTCACAAAAGAGTCTCACATCCAAGAGGTGAGCAGGGCAATAGGGTTTATAACTTCTGATTGCAAATAAATAAAGACAGGTAGAGGTTAGACTATGAAAACAGTGGCATTTTCAACCCATAATTCAGCCAGATATAATTAACAGATATCTGTTTGCTGAAGAAAAAAGTGCATTAATACCCTACTACGTAACCTGTGTGTATGCAGTGTTGCAAACAATGTCCTTCAGGTTCTCAGAAATCCCATTATTAGTATCAGCAGTTGACTGTCACATAACAAGTGGCAGCAAAGTTAAATTCATCCAAGGCATCTGCTAAGCTCATTACTGTCACTGCCTCATATCTCTCTAAAGCACAATACTCCAGAAGGATACTTACATTTCTACAGGAATTCACTACCAGCAGTACTTTAATACGTAATATGTTTAAAATTTGGCTTATCTATCATAAACCCCTACAGATCACCAGGGCTAGCAGGAGTATGTATCTCACTTAAGGAAATAGGTTCAAGCAAGAAGTGTATTATTTTGTCCTTGGTTTGAGCAGAAAGTCAGTACTTCTCAGCCTTAAACACTACATGCTCAATATACAGGAGTGTTTATTAATTCAGTCCCCTTTATGATCTCACACTATTTATTTTACAACAATTACAGCATGTGCTGAATACACGTGCTGCTCTGTAACCCGTATTTGAGCAGTGGTAGTTCATGCCCATACAGCAGTAAGAACAAACACACACACACACCCCACACACACACTACCTCATTATTCCTGAGATGATTATGTACAGTGCCAGTTCCCAGTTGGGCCTGGGGAGCGCTTCTGCACACGTTGCCAACATGTGATATGGAAGCGATGCGTTCAAGATAAATACAAATTCAGAGCCTCCCGCAGTGATGAATTTTAATTCACGTATAACTCTGGAAGCAGTGAAATCTGGTGTAAACCTGGAAACAGCGTAAAGCACATTAGAACTTTTCATATGAACAGCACAAATGTTTGAGGTGATTTTTATAACTCATAAATTACAAATAAAAAAAAAAACACAACTCAACTCCATCAATTACAATACAACCTAAAAGCACTTGTGAATCTTTCAAATACCTCAAGATGTGTTTGACTACATTCATTAACACCTATGCTTAACACATCTGATACTAGATTTCTCCAGGTAATATATGAGGTTATAACTGAGAATAAGTTTTTACCACATCTGTTAATAAATGCTATGAATGCAGTAAAAATTTCACAGCAGGTCTAATTACTAGGTAAGCTATAAATTTTTTAAACACTCCACCTTTAAGTCACAAATGTGGCTTTTCAAAAGCATCACCACTTCATCACAACCTCATCACAAGCTAAGATTGTACAGAAGTACTAGTGAAATACTATTTCACTGCAGCAATATTTCATACATCCATCCATTTGCAGAAAGAAGCAACTTTTGAATTTTTTAGATACCATTTTCTGAATAGCTAACTTTACAACAATGCACTGTTAAAACACCAGTGTTTGATGCAGAGATTTTTTTATAATAAAAACTGACAGAATGACACAGTCATTATCATTAAGACAACAGGCAAAATATTCAAGACAAAAATACTGTGCATTACAATAACAATGCTTAGACCAAAGGCTCTATTCTACATACTGCAATGCACCAAAACCATTTGTAGGTCTAGATCCCATGAGCATTCACAAGTCAAATGAGGGCAATTTATAAAATCCCATATAGTAACATTATTCCAACTCAGCAAGTTATACTCACTGGATAGTAACAGATGTAATACTATAGTCAGTCACAAGAACACAGTGTCATGAAAACTCAAATAATGTTTGCAAAAAGAGAGAAAAATGTCATAATTATGTAACACTGTATAATACGCACTGTATAATACATGCAACACTTCAGTAAAAAGCCCTCAGAATTTAACCAAGAGAGTTTTCCCCTGAAACAGTATTAAAATTCCAAATGTAAGACCCCATTTAGATGTAAGAAAAACCACTTACAATATGACAATGTCTTTAGAGGCATTGGCACTTAGTGCAAATTCTTGACAGTTAACTACTTTGAATCCATATCCTTCACATGTGTAGCCACTGATTTCCATTGTTTTCACATTAATCTGCAGCTGCCCTGTATTTTCCACTTTAAATGTTCTTCTCAGTGTGAAATTCGGTTCTTTGTATTTCATTTCTAGAAACAAACAGCAGTGGTGAGTGGTATGCTGAGCAGATACCCTTCGCTGTATTAATATTCTACAGCAGAAGAGAGTTCTGTCAGTGTTACAGCATAAGGGGAACTAGCAAGACCCATGGAAATTACCTTTAGGCAACTTGTAGGAACATATCTCTACAGCCAGATTCTCATCACTGTCAAGGTAGGGCACTCGTACAATTCCAGAGCCCTCTAACTCATTAGGGAAACAATACAAACCTCCTAACCTCTGACAGCACAACTGCCTCACAAAGAAATCACCTAAGCTGCAAAGTTCTTTGACATACTGCATGTCTTATATATACTGCATGTCTTATATATACTTCACAGCATATCACTGATGCTGTGATATTCTCTGAACAGTTCCAGCAAGAGAAGAATTAAAATGCTGGGGTTTTTTTTTGTCTTAAAAATAAAACTGCGTGGCTTAACTACATATATCTTATTAGCAAA